TTTTTCTTGTAGTGACGGTAATAATTATTTTTAAGTTAATAATTATAAATACTTATATTTGTACTTAGAATTTTAGATATAAACTAACTATTTTAAACAAAAATTAAATTTTAATGGTTAATTTATAAGTTTTTCATCATTAATAAACAATATAATTATATTGGTTATATTAAAAGAGGAAACGGAAATTCAGGACTCCCTGGCAAAAAAAAATGCCAGGACGGCCATAAACGATGTCGTTTTGACAAAAGGGCCAGATTATGCGTTCTTGTCCCATCCCCTCTGAAGTTCCTCCCTAATAAATCCCAAACACCGTCACCGCAAAAAGCGCTGCTACAACCACACGGTCAGTGATGATGTAGCTGCAGAGCAGGAGTGGCTCCTCGCGAGCCAAGAAGAGGAAGACCCAAACGATGAGGATGACGAGGAAGATGATTAGGAAGAAGGGATGGTAGATTAGGCTGAAGAAGAGGACCAGGAAAAGGAGAAGGATGTAATTGACGCGGGAGTGGGAGAGGTTCTGAGCAGGAAGGCAGGGTGGGGATGGGATTTACCAACAAGAAATTTAGAGAGAAAAGATTTGGCTTGTTATCAAAACGACATCGTTTATGGCCGTCCTGGTTTTTTTTTGGCCAGGGAGTCCTGAATTTCTGTTTCCTCATATTAAAATATGTTTGGTAACTTTTTAAGTTGGATGTATTGTTTGTGTCAGGGCATCACATCAATGAATCTTTTGTTAGAATTAAAGTCAGTATCTTACATTTTGGGACGGGTTGAATGAAATGTGAAATTTTGAAGAAAAGTACAATAAGTAATTATATTAAAAGAGTATAGTAATAAGCCTATTTAGTTATTTTATTTATGAATTCAAAGATGACATGGAGTATGTTTGGATAATGCATTTTCGTAATCCAAGTCAAAGTTTAATAGCAAAAATCGGATGGTAAAATGTCCAAATTTACCCTCAAAAGTTAAGTAGCAGGGGTAAATCTATTGTTAACAAAAAAGGAGTCAAATCCAATTAAAAAGTTATTAACTTAAACAAATCATCTAAATTTTAATGGAAGACATTAAATGACATCAACAACTTGTTGACAATGAACTTATTAACAATGAACTCATCAATAACACAATAAGTTAACAAATTGTTAACGTCATTTAATATCACATGTTAAAATTAAGGAAATTTGTCTAATTTAAAAATTTTGTGGTGGATTTATCTTTTTTTTTGTTTGTTTAAGAGTGGATTCATCTTTACCGTTTAACTTGGGAGGTGGAATTTGACATTTTATGTAAGAAATGTACAAACAAAAATTGGCATCACAATATCACCGTGCATTGTCATTTGAAAAAAAAAAAGAGGAAAATTGTGAAAGTGGTAACGTCATTTGCGGGATGAATTCTCAAGTATAGCTCCAATTGTAAATGAAGAATCAACTAATGATTCAATTACAGAGATGGTTAAAAAATGATACCAATGAGTTTTGTCCAAGCATTTGGGGATACAACTAGTGAGGACATAATATTTTAGGATCTGAGGCAAGATGCTAAGAAAATTTTTTGAGTTGCTAATATGTTGCTTTATGATGGATGCATTGAGAGTGATATAATATTACAGTGGGTATCTTATTTTATGAATATAGAAATACTTTATAATATTAGTATAACAAATTGAAATTATATATTAAAGTACAGTAGAAGATGAAATAAAATAGAAGATCTAAAGATGATAAGAAACTTTAGTTTATATTATAAAAAATATGGTATTTGTGTAAACAATTATTTATTGTACTATGGTGAGGATGAAAGGAAAAACTACCCCATGTACTTGATACGTGGGCAACATAATGAGCACATACTAAAGAAGTTGTTGTAGTACCTCTTGATTACACAAACTTAAGATTAGGATTCTTGGTACTCAACTCCATACACGGATATAGCTTCAAGTTATAATTTCTGCATGATTAAGTTACCATTGGATTTTAGAATTCGTTATGGATATTCAACCTTATGATTTATTTGATTAAATCCTACAATCCAAAGGAGCCTACCGGCAAGTCGATGATGGAGACCCTCAAAGCATGACGAGTTGCCAAGTTGTCCACTAAATGCATTCTTCCCAAAGAAGAACATGCATAACAGAATATTGTTCCAATTTTGAAATTTTGGGTATGTTTCTGTTTTGTCAAACAACAAAGATTTGACCAATGATATATTAATCCGAATGGAAGAAATTTGATTTTTCTTAAATAAAATATCAAATTCAAGTTTTGCAATGTAATTTTATTCTGAATTAATTAAAATTTAATATGACTTTTAAATATTATAGGGTTAGTAAAAAAAAAAAGAAAAAAAAAATTATATATGATTTATTTTGTAGAACAAGAAAGAAACTTGTGTAAAGTCCCTTTCTTTCCTCGATGCACTAGCTACAAAGCCTTTTCTGTTTTTTAGGTTCTGATTGGCTATAAGAAAAAAGGGTAGAGAATTGCAATCGCAATTAAAGAGATAAAAAGAATTATCCGCAGAGAAGCAAAAGGAGGAAGGCTGTGCCAAAAAAGGAAAAAAACCAGAAAGAAATGATTCTAGAAATGATTCCAGAATATTTAATTCTAGAACCAACCCTTCATATTTAATGATTCATCTCTAAGTTTTAGTATTTGGGTGAGATTGATGAAGAAGTTAAGTCTCACCACTTATTTAAACAGTGTAACCTATTTGAACATTTACACTTAACCTATGAATTATTAGCATTTTTCTTAACTCATGGATTAGATCCATTTCCTTTCTCTTTCCTCTATAATTGTCTTTGCTCCAAATATATATATGTTGACTCAATGCACTCCAAGAGGGGGGGTGAATTGGAGTTGGAGAATTTTTGTCTCTTTGCAACCATCAAACAAAAATTAAAGAGAGAGTGGAGAAGAAGAGTTTGCACAATAATTTTATAGAGGTTCGGTCCAACCACTTGGAGCCTAGTCCTCTACCTTGGCTTCACTCACTAAGGATTTCCTCCACAGTTTCCACTAACAACAACAAGGGTGGCTTAAAGGAGCCACTCAATCCTTTTACAAGAATAAGGGTGTTTCTCTCAAATCTCACCCCTTTACAAGCTAAACCCAAACAATCCTCTTTACAAATCACTCATGAAGGAATAATCACACCCCCAAGATCACTCACAAATAGAACAAGAAGAGGATTACAAATAAAGATCTCTCAAAGATCAAAATCTCAAGTTAAAGCACAAGCTGGTAGGTAAAGATATTTAATACAATGCTCTCTAAACTTCTTCATATCTGTTACCAACCATATTTATAGCCTCTTACTCGAAAATAGCCGTTTCTAGCCGTTGGGGGTCATTAAATGCCCTGCAGGACGCGAAACTCAAGTTGCAAGATTGTTAGGAGAGCTTGCTTAACTTCCTACAACCGGCTTTGTAGAGCCGGCTCACCATTTCTGCAGCCGATTTTGCGGGATTCCTCCATTCTGTTTTTCCGTAAAGTCGGCTTAAAATTTCTGCAGCCGGCTTTGCAAGTTTCCTGCACATTCTGTTTTCTTCAAGAGCTAGCTGCAAAACTTTGAGCCGGTTTTGGAACTCCGACTTTAAATACATTAAATCTTCTTCAAATAAATCGACCGTTGTGCATTAAATGCACCTTCATAGCCGGCTGCAAAGTTGGAGCCGACTTCACGTCTTTTCTCCGCGCGCACCAAACAACTTGCTTTTAACTTTTTACCCCTAGAGCCGGCTGCAGCTTTTAGAGCCGGCTCTCTGCACTTTTACAGCTGGCTTCAAGTTTCAACACCCGGCTCTCTGCACATTTTCAAGCCTTTTGGTCCATTTTTAGTGCAGTCCAAGTTTACTTACTTTGCAATCTTTTGACATTTTAACTACACATTTAAATGAACTAATTAGTCACTCAAATGTATTTTGTAATCATCAAAATCATAGGTACAACAATATATATATATATAAATCCATCTTAAATAATAGAAATGAATTCACCTAAACAAAAAATAAATACAAATTCACTTAAAAAAATGTTAATTTAAATAAATTATTTCAAATTTAACTTACAATATTATGACATCAGCAATTATTAATTTATTATGCAACTAGATAAGTTGTCAACGGATTGAGCAAAAGAAGGGTTACCGCACCGTTAGGATTATCTCCGACCATGGGCAAGAGTCAAAAGTGTAAAAATATTTGACTACCCTTAATTCATTAAAAATATGTTCCCACGCAGATGGTGCGGTGGCTCAGCCACTGCCCTTCGCCAGGACTAAGGGTCACCCCCTGGTGAAATACTGAAATGGGTTCAAATCCCAGGACGATATTTCCCCTACCCACCAAGAGCAGATACCATATCTCTACTGTAATAAATGCCCATTGTAAAAAAAAAAGAAAAAAAAAAAAGAAAATTTAAGAAAAAGAATATTTTTATATTTTAAATAATTGGTTCACGCGCCAAGCGCGTGCAAATATTCTCTATATTTATATAGCTCACCAGAGTAATTGCCATTTAACCACGAGAGAATCAATGGTTGCGTGTTGCAAGTGCGAGACGCGGGAGTTTCTCTCCCAGCTTTCTTCCTCTTTCCGAGCCAAACCCCTAACCCTAGATTCCGACCATGTCGTCCAAGCAAGGTAAGCCTTCTCCCTACATGCCTTCATATATGATGCAATGCAGTAATTTGATTTGATTTAATTTAATTTTTCAAGTTTTTAAATCAAGCTAATCCTCTGTGACCTATCTTGAGACAATGATTTTATTTGGGTGTTATTTTCAGGTGGCAAATTGAAGCCTTTGAAGCAACCCAAATCCGATAGGAAAGAATACGACGAGGTATTGTTATCAAATTGAATTTTTTGCATCAATTTATTTTATGGTTAACTTCTAATTTTGGCTCGGTTTATTCAAACAAATATCTAGTTTTCTCTTTTTAGATTTGATTTCTAGTTTATTCTATTGATCTGCTATTTTGAACAATTTTGTTTGCTTGCTATAGGATTATTAGTTTTTATGAGAAACCTGGTAATTTGGTATTTTGAATCAAGTGTCTCTGCTGTTTAATTGCCTGTCTTCATGATTGTCCATGGATGCCCTGTTACATGACTCTTTTTTGGTTACTGTGGACCTTCAAAGAATTGTTGTGGGTATTTGATCTATGGTTCTAATTCAATAAATTTTTTTGTTATAATTTGTTATACTTTGTCTTTTCAATGTTTTCATGAATCTTTTAATTTGTACCTGCTCCTTTAATTCTTAATTGTTGTTACTTGTTAACTGCTTTTTGTTTCGAATTGCTTTATTGTTCGGTAGTGTTGGTCTTGGTGATGGAAATATTATCTGACATCAGTTGTTGATATCTTTATGACCTTGACTTAATTGTCCTTGTGCAGCATGATTTAGCTAACTTGCAGAAAAAGAAGGAAGAGGAAAAGGTAAGATGGTGGCAGTTGATACTGCATATTTTGTTAAGCTTAAAATTGTCTTCCTTCTATCTGTGGATATGGAGCAAATAATCAATCCATTGTATATGACATGGTGAGCAGGCACTTAAAGAGCTAAGGGCAGAAGCATCACAAAGGGGTTCGTTTGGAGGGGCTGGTCTGAAGAAGAGTGGGAAGAAATGAGCCTTTGAACTCCAGTCGTGGCTAGAATCGTGTGTCCAGGTTACAAATTCTATTATGATGACATCTTATGATTTAGTTTAATGTTATAAGACATGATTTGTGGTCCAGTTCAATGCTGACTCTGCTACAGAACTTTTAAGTCAAATGTTATCGTGTGAAACTCAATAAAATTTGTTTTTGTGCGAGCTGCTGACAGTTTCTCTCCCAGCTTTCTTCCTCTTTCCGAGCCAAACCTCTAACCCAAGATTCCGACCATGTCGTCCAAGCAGGGTAAGCCTTCTCCCTACATGCCTTCATAAAGATCATCGATTTGTTTGATCTGATTTAATTTAATTTTTCAAGTTTCTAAATCAAGTTAATCTTCTATTACCTATCTCGAGACAATGATTTTATTTGGGTGTTATTTTCAGGTGGCAAATTGAAGCCTTTGAAGCAACCCAAATCTGATAAGAAAGAATACGACGAGGTATTGTCATCAAATTATTTTTGTATCAATTTATTTTATGGCTAACTTCTAAATTTGGCTTGGTTTATTCAAACAAATATCTCGTTTTCTCTTTTTAGATTTGATTTCTAGTTTATTCTATTGATCTGCTATTTTTAACAATTTTGTTTGCTTTCTTTAAGATTATTAATTTTTATGATAAACCTGGTAATTTGGTATTTTGAATCAAGTGTCTCTGCTGTTTAATTGCCTGTATTCATGATTCTCCATGGATGCCCCGTTACATGACTTTCAAAGAATTTTGGGTATTTGATCTTTGGTACTAATTCGATAAATTTTGTGGTTATAATTTGTTCTGCTTTGTCTTTTCAATGTTTTCATGGATCTTTTAATTTTTACCTTCTCCTTCAATTAATAAATTGCTGTTTCTTGTTAACTGCTTTTCGTTTGGAATTGCTTTATCCTTCAGTAGTGCTGATCTTGGTGATTGAAGTATTATATGTTAATAATTGATATCTTTATAACCTTGACTTAATTGTCCTTCTGCAGCATGATTTAGCTAATTTGCAGAAAAAGAAGGAAGAGGAAAAGGTAAGATGGTGGCAGTTAATACTGCATATTTTGTTGAGCTTAAAATTGTCTCCCTCCTATCCGTGGATATAGAACAAATAATCAATCCATTGTATATGACATGGTGAGCAGGCACTTAGCTAAGGGCAAAAGCATCAAAAAAGGGTTCGTTTGGAGGGGCTGGTCTGAAGAAGAGTGGGAAGAAATGAGCCTTTGAACTCTTGTTGTGGCTAGAATCGTGTGTTCAGGTTGCAAATTCTATCATGGTGACATCTTATGTTTTAGTTTGATGTTATAAGACATCGTTTGGGTTATTGTGTGGTCTAGTTCAATGCCTGACTTTGCTACAGAGCTTTAAGTCAAATGTTGTTGTGTGAAACTCAATAAAATTTGTTTTTGTGCCATTCTCTATTTCTTTTTGCCTCATGCATGGTTTCTTAAACAATTTGACCGTTCTTGCATTTTACTGCACTGAACATTTTCTAAGAAATGTCATTCACCAAAGCATATAACATTTGTAAGCGGAAGCAGACTTCAGTAGAATGTAGAAAGTCCAAAAATTAACCCATTTCTTCTAGATAGATTCATTATGTTGGATCTGCTAATGCTTTCCTGAGGTAAATATGAATAACTTCACTATTCAGTATACAGTTGATAGACTATAAAGACATTAGTGTAGAAACAAACATAATAGCACCCTGAATGGAATCGAACTATAAAATCCTTACATAAACAACTCTAATAATAGCACCTCCGTAACCCCAGACAACAATCATCTAGCTTCCATATCAGAAATTGTCACATGATTTATGGAACAGTTCTCCGACTTAATTTCAGGAACACCAGTGTTTTCCTCAAATCTGGTGTCAGTGAAAAATGCTGGTTGTTTTGGTTTTGGCAGCGGCATTGTTTCATTTGAAAGCATTGAAACAATATCAGACATGGTGGGTCTATCAATGGCATGATCTTGCACACACAGGAGGCCAATATGAATGCATCTTAATATTTGATCATGAGGGCAAAATTCATCCATACTAGGATCTATCAACTCTAAAGCTCTATCTTCATTCCAGAGCTGCCATACCTGGTGAAAACCAAAGTTGAATTTCTCGTACAAATCTTAAGGTGTAATAATATATATTGGCTTAATTTGATAATTCTATTAACTATTGACATTTTTTTTCTCTTTAAGTTTTTATTTTCTTCCAAAGTTGTTTACTAATTTTTAAAATTGTATCAATTTCACATACTTAACACAATTTTGTTAGTTAGATTGATGAAAGTCCGTATCATTGCTTACGTACTGTTGCGTAAGCTGCTACGTAAGCAACATGAGGCCTGAAAATAAAGCAAAAATTCCTGCTTCTTTCTTTCCCTAACCTAATAAACAACAAACAATTATATTATAATCTAATCTAATTAAAACAAAAGACAATTAAAATAATGAAAATCAAATTATTCAGGTCACGTGTTTTGTGTTGCCACATAAGCAATTATGTGGACTTCCATTAATCTTGCTAACGGAATTGTGTTAGGTAGACAAAACTAGTAGATGACTTTAGAAGAAAATAAAAACTCTAGACTAAAACAAAAAATGATTAATATTTAATAGTTAATAGATGACTTATTAAATTAAGCCAATATATGTTCATTCAAAATGAAGAGAGAAGAAAAGTATGAAGAG